GACAGGGAATCTTCAGCTTCCTCAATAACCTGACTAATTATAGTGAGTTTTTACTCCTTCTGTCACTTCCAGGCCCTTCAACATCACTAACAGGAAGGAGATAGGTGGTTATAGGACTCAGAAAGGTCAATCTGCCCAATGCCCACCAGATGTGGACCTGGAAGGTGAAGATCAAGGGAGCGCTTCCCAGGGAGAACCTGGACCTGCCAGGTGGACTAGCAAGCCACCGCTCCACTGCCAACGCTTGAAATCCCTTCCTTCCCTGTGGATCATAGGACATTGCCATCTGCCTCACCTCTGGGTTTCAAATTATTTGAGATAGTTTAAGACAGTTTGGGCCAAGTTTCTGGTGATTGAAGGTGAAAACATTCTCAAAGATAAACTTATTGTGGTAGCATTTTGTATTTTGTATCTATCAAAAATCAAAAAACTGCGGGCACAGTGGTACATGCCTATAACCCCAGAGGCTGAGGCAAGAGGATTGCAAGTTCAAAGCCAGTCTCAGAAAATCAAGGCGCTAAGCAACTCAGTGAGACCCTGTCTCTAAATAAAATACAAAATAGGGCTGGGGATGTGGCTCAGTGGTTCAATGCTCCTGAGTTCAATCCCATGTAACTCCCCTCCTCAAAATAAAAAACAACCATGTTAATTGTAATGCATTCTGCTGTCATATATAACAAATTAGAATAAAAATTAAAAAAAATAAATAAAACAATCATGTTTGTATAAATATATCAAAATAGATTCTACTGTCATGTATGTCTAAAAAGAACAAATAAAAACAATAAAACACTAAAAAAAATATGGTATGGAGGCACATACATGCCTATAATCCCAGCAACTCAGGAGACAGGAGAATGCCAGCCTGGGCACTTAGTGGGACCTGATCTCAAAAAAAAGGGGGGGGGGAATGTAGCTTAGTGGTAGAGTGCCCCTGGTTCAATTCTTGGTGCCACAAAAATTCCAAGCTGGGCATAGTGACACACATCTATAATTCCAGCACTGAGGAGGCTGAGGCAGGAGGATCACTTGAGCCCAGGAGCTAGAGATCAGCCTGGGTAACACAGCAAGATTCCCCCAACTCTCTTTCAAAAAAGGGGAGGGAAGAGAGAAGGAAAGGGGAAGAAGGAATAAAGATATGAAGGAGAAAAAAAGAAAAAGACCATAACCCCGTAGCCAGTAAGATTCCTCTCTTTGAAGATCAAAGTAACTGGAAAAAAAGAAAGAAAAAAAAAAAAAAGAGTAGTCAGGAACAGAGAGGGCAGGCCTGAGCTCTCTTGGAGGCCCACACAATCATTTGGATATTTGTACCTAATTTGTCTTGGAATTTGGAATTTAGTAGAAGGACACTTCTGTCATCAGTTTGGTCCAAACTGTTGGTTGTATCTGAAATTCAAGGCTTTTGTGGCTGTTACTGTGACCTGATTTTTGCTTCCAAACCACTTGAGGAAAAAATCTTTTGTTCTTTTGTTTTGAAAACAGGCACACATCAGAAAAGCTGTGTTATTTCGGACACTGGTTATTTGCAAAAGGAGCCAACTCAAGTTAGGGTAAGCAAAAAGAAACGAAAGGGCTTGGTGTCTTCCAAAACCCTAGGGCAGTAAGATCCTTCCATTTGAAATTTATAAAAAGTGGGTAGGCAGACCTCATCCCTGCTGCTCTCAGTACAGCTGCTGAATTCTTCTCTAGCCGCAGAATAGCACCTCTGCCCCTCAGTCCACACAGTGCCCAATGCTCTGCAGCTTCTAGGTGTAATGTCTCCAGTGCAACCACCCACCAGCCAGATGTGGTGTTTCTCAGACTCAACTCCAATTCCAAGAAAAGACCATCTGCTCAGACACAGGATCAGGATTGTGCCTCTCTTGTCATATACGTTGGAGCTGAGGAGTGAGTCACACAGTTCATGGTAGCTTCCTGGAGGGGGGATTATTGGCTCACAGGATAGGCAGCTCCATTTTGACTATTCCTCTCGACCAGATCTTGGGATAGAGAGGAAAATGTGTCTGAACACGCTGATACGTTAACTACAGCACGTCAAAGGGCCCTATTGGGAGATGTTGGAGAAGGTATAATTGCCATAAAGGGCACAAGGTTATCACCTAAGTCAAGAATGTGAGTAATCAGGAAGCAGTCATTTATTATGGAACTAGGCTTGGGATAAATGAAAACCCACACCCTTATGTTTAAATATTTAAATCTATAAAAAATGAAGCTAAGAAGCTAGTAAAATTTATGTTCTATCCTCTTACCTTTGTGGTAAAATGGAAAAAAAAAAATTCTGTACTGGGGATCGAACCCAGGGGCACTCTTATCACTAAGCTATCTCCTCAGCCCTTTTTTATTTTTTATTTTTGAGACAGAGCCTTTATAAATTGCTGTGGCCAGCCTTCAATTTGGGATCCTCCTGCCTTAGTCTCCTGAATGGCTGTGATTACAGGTGTCCCCACCATGCCCAGCTGAAATGGAAAATATTTTAAATCTGTGGTTTAGGTGATCAAAAGTAGGCAATAGAATTTAATTATTATTGTTCATATCTGGGGGTTTAATTGATGGGCTGTTGATGTTTAGATGAGTAAGAACAACACACATATACACATATGTAAAATTTATAAATGATCATATATTTATCCCACTCACTTTAACTTCCTTGCTTTCATTTCAGCAACATCCATAATTATATTTTTATAATCAAGATTTTTTTCACATAACTTGTACTCTAAAAATAGTTCTAGTCTAAAGCAAAAACCACAGCGCATGGCCGCAGACAGCCTGTGGCTTGTCTTTGGATGGCCCCTAGAGCTCTCAGAATGGGTTTTACAATGTTTTAACAATAACATAAGGTTGTGAGGGGAATGGGAAAATAAACAAGGAGAGAAATGAATTACAGTAGATGGGGTAGAGGGAGAAGATGGGAGGGGAGGGGAGGGGGGATAGTAGAGGATAGGAAAGGTAGCAGAATACAACAGTTACTAATAGGACATTATGTAAAAATGTGGATGTGTAACCGATGTGATTCTGCAATCTGTATTTGGGGTAAAAATGGGAGTTCATAACCCACTTGAATCTAATGTATGAAATATGATATGTCAAGAGCTTTGTAATGTTTTGAACAACCAATAAAAAAAATTAAAAAAAAAAAAAAAAAAAAACAAACAATAACATAAGACAGCTTATGTGGCTCAGAAAGCCTAAAATATTTATTACCTGGTCCCTTACAAAAATGTTTCCTGACCCCCTAACCAAAAGCAAGGCTAGTCAAAGTATGGTCACTGGTATGATCTCTGAGCTGTGAAGCTGAATGTCAGTAGGGAATATGTTCCAAGACCCCAGGGGATGCCAGAAACTGTGGTTAGTACCAAATCCTTCATATACTATGCTTTTTCTTATACATAAATATCTATGATAAGTTTAATTTATTAATAGAACTCAGAAAGAGATTAACAATGATAGCTAGTAATAAAATAGAACAGTTATAATGACATACTGTAATAAAAGTAAATGTGCTTTCTAAGTATCTTAATTTCTCACTGCTCTTAGCAATTATTTTCAGACTGCAAGTAAACATAGAAAGCAAAAACTCTGATAAGGAGCCCCACCATACATCTGTAAGCACAACTCTTAGTTGAGCTGACATTTTTTCATGGAAGACTTTCTTGATGAAGGAAGCTATATACTGATTAATTTGGACAGGGGTTTCTTATCTCCTGTGGACCAGCACTAAGCAATAAATATCTAAGGAATTAAAAAATTAAGTGTAACTATGGTCCTAAGTCTACAGAATTGACCTTGAGGGTTAATTGAAGCAACTTTAGTAAATTTAAAACTTAGCATTCCTTTTTACATTTTTAGAAATTATTTTTCTTCTAGAATATTCAAAGTTATCCATTAAAAGAATTTACAATGAACAAATATCACATTTAAAAATCTAAATTACTTGAAGCCAGGTGCAGTGGTGCACGCCTATAATCCTAGTGGCTCAGGAGGCTGAGGCAGGAGGATTATGAGTTCAAAGCCAGTTTCAGCAAAAGCGAGGCACTAAGCAACTCAGTGAGACTCTGTCTCTAAATAAAATACAAAATAGGACTAGGGATGTGGCTCAGTGGTCGAGTGCCCCTGAGTTAAATCCCCAGTACACCCCCCAAATTACTTGAATAACATCTTAAATCTTCTTAAAAAGAAAATTATTAAAATTTTTTTATAAAAATAAGATTATTGTAATTTTACCTTGTGGAAGAAAATCTAAGGCACATCAAAAAATTTAAAGTTTATTTGAAGAAGAAGCAATTCACATAATCATATGTTCGTTGGCTGCTTGTGGTTAGCCAAGGTTAAGTTTTGTTTCTGTCTAATGTAAGCATTTACCAGAAATGACAGAAGTTTCACTTGTATTTTGCAGTGTAAGCAGCGTTATGGCCGTCTTTAAGATCCAGTCGGTTTTGTTTGTGCAGGAATTCTTCAGGCCTGGTATCCTGCTTGAATAGCATTCAACAACCATCTGATTGCCAATGTCAAGTTTGGTGTCATACCTCATGAATGATACATCTACACCTACACATACTCACCGTTCTTACCCACCAGCTGGTGCATCAATGTGCATCTTATTAGGAGTTGTTTTTTGGCAGCTCTAACCACCAGGTCCACTGCCACCTGAACCAGGCTACAAACTCCCCAAGGCAAGGCTGCTGGTCATTCACTTTTTGGAGTCCACAAGATAGAACCAAATAAAAAGATGTGTGGATGATGGTGATGCTGGATATAACGTTTCTTTCTTTTAACATTCTTTTTAGATATATAGTAGAGTGTATTTTGACATATTATACATACATGGAGTATAACTCCCATTCTTGTGGTTGTACATGATGTGGAGTTACGCTGGCTGTGTATTCACATATGAACATAAGAAAGTATGTCTGATTCATTCTATTGTCTTTCCTATTCCCATCCCCCTTTCCTTCTCTTTATTCCTCTTTGTCTAATCCAATGAACTTTACCCCCCCCACACACACACACATGATGTTTCTGATTGTCATATGATTTGCATCAAATAATCCTCAAGGATCCAGCAATTGTTCTCTTGACAGAGGACACCAACCAACAACCAATATATTCTTTTGTGTGAAATCAGATGTGATGTTGTAATATTGTAATATACTCCTATGTGAAAATGCTTCATAAAAGGGAAGGCATCATACAAATAATTACTGTTATTAATGTAGTCTCCGTTGCCCTGATCATTGACAATGACCCTTAACCTTTGATTGAGACATCCAACTTGCCCTATCCACAAGCAAATTCGCTGATCATCTTGTTAGGAGTCCGCCTTCCGGTAGCCCTTGCCAGTTCCATTGTTCTCGATACCCACAACCAGTCAGTCTAGAGCTTTTCCTGCGCTCTGCACCTTTATGTGGAGCACTGGAGATGGTTCTTGAAGTAGTGGAGAGCCAGTTTGAACTGGACCCCAGCCCTGGTGTTGGTCCTGTATATGCTGTAGGTCTTCTCCTGGGCGGCCAACTCCGAGTCCTCCGATGGACTGCGGGGCTGGTGACCGACAACCACATCTGTGCATGAGCCCACCAGCAGACTCCCCAGCCCATCAATAAAAAACTCTGTGAAGAGAGGGAGAGCGGGAGAAGAAATGAGAGCTGCCGCCAGAGAGCCTCCTGCATGCAGCTCTGGGAGGGCGGCCAAGGGAGAAGCTAGAGAGGTCCAGCTCCGTGTAAAGCCACACCCCGAACTCCAGGAACCTGCCTGTCCCGATGTGTTGGGAGGCAATAAACTCATTTCTCAGGCAGAGAGGCATGATCAGGCTTCTACGGAACAGAACTGTGGGCTCCCGTTTGGAAGGATTGAGAGAGAGAGGCAGGGGCAGTTACCAGCAGCGCTTTAATAGAAGAGGACTTCTGGGGAAAAGAGACCGCAAAGCAGAATAGAGCTGTAGAGGAATGAAGGGGAGAGGCATCTCAGATGGGCAGGGACAGCCTGGGAGAGGCACGGAAGTGGAAGACAGGTGAAGAGAGAGGGAGGCAAGAAAGATCATGAGCTCCCTAGTTTGGGGTGAAAGAGGAAGGAGACCCACTGGTGAGAACGCCCTGCGGAGGGGTATACCCAGCCCGGCTCCCTTCCCCGCTTCTCCAGCCTCCCACCTGAATGCGCCACACGTTGCAGGCGGGGATCAAAGCCAACTCTAAGGAGTCGCTCCGTGTGGGCCAGGAAGAAGTTGACAACGCCACTGGTCACCACACAGTGGGGGAAGCCGTCCAGGCGCTGGAACCATCCGTTCCTCTTGTGAAGACAGTCAACAGCCTCACTCTGTTCCAGCAACAGCTTGAACTGGAACACGTTCCCCATCACGCTGCCACCCACCTAGCCAGAGGGCACAGAGATGTGGTTTGAGAGCATCCTGCCTCTTCCAGGAAGCCCCACTGGACTACACCCCCGTGTGATGAGAATCGCACCCGTTCTGGATTTGCCCTTCAAACCATCCCTCAGTTACTCTCTTCTTGCTCTGCGACCACAGTTTGTAACATACTGCTGCGGGGCCCTTTGGAGCTTTGAATTCCTGCCTTCCCCGATCTCCTTGATGTGAACAGCATTTCCCAAATCCAAAAGTCAGGCAACTGCTACCTTATGTTCTGATCACAGGGGCACGAGCTCTCCTGTCCTGCAAGATCTCTCAGCACTCCTTTCCGTTATCTTAGTTTAGGCAAGAGGCTGCCTATTCTCAATGGTCCATTTGTGAAGTGTGCTTTGCCAGATCTCCTTGCAGAAGGCGATGTACCTAAGTCGCCTTCCTCCCTTTTTGACTGATCTTGGCTTACTTCTCTATGCTGCCTGTCCATGCACCCATGGGAGATAAATGCATTTAAATGTTTGAGCTTCAGCAAAACAGGATGAGCAAGTACCATCATCCTTGGTATCCATGGAGAGCCAGTTCTCAGACCCTCTGCAGATACAGATGCTCAAGTCCCTTGTATGAAACGGCACAATTTCTGCAAATAACCTAAGCACATCTTCCTGTATACTTTACATTTTCTCTAGGGCTGGAGGTGTAGCTCAATGGTAAAGCACTTGCCTAGCTGAGGTCCTGGGTTCCATCCCTAGCACTGGAAAAAAAAAAAAAATCATCTCTGGATTTCTTATGGCACCTAACACAATGTAGTTGTTACACTGTATTGTTTAGGGAATAATGATAAGAAATGAAAACTTGTACAGATTCAGTATAGTCGTGACCCTCAAGTGGTCTAACTACCTAGTACATGTCAGCAACAAGATAACTCCACCCCATGCCATTTTTGATCAGAGGTTGAGTAGGTCCTCTGTTATAGAACTCACCAATACCAGGGGCAGACTGTATATCTAGTCCTGAAACAATCACCATCATTTAAAGGTGACACAATGAGGTCTACTCATTGTTCCTTCTCATCTTTTCTTTCTTCCTTCCTTTTTATAAATGAACCCTCTGAGTTTTTAAGTGGAATAAATTAAGTTAAAGTCAATTAGCCAACTAAAGATGACATTTCCCACACCCCCTGGCATCAAAGTTTAATCTGGTGGCTAAATTCTGACTGGAGGGATATGATTTAGAACTAGTGTGTGCAACATCTAGCTCATGTCCTTAAAAGAAACCTTTGCAGGCCAGGCGTGGTGATGCACACCTATAATCCCAGAGGCTTCCCAGGCTAATGCAGGAGGATCAAGGATCAAGGTTCAAAGCCAGCCCCAGCAATTTAGTGAGACCTTATGGAGCTTAGCAAGACTTTGTCTCAAATTAAAAAAAAAAAAAAAAAAAATTAAGAGGCTGGGGATGTGGCTCAGTGGTTAAGCGCGCCTGGGTTCAATTCCTGGTACACACACACACACACACAAAAAAAAAAAAAAACAACAGAAAGAAAAGAAACAGAAACCTGTTTGCCCTGGACTTCCTTCTCCCCCTTGTTTCTGGCCTGCGAGGGTGGGGTAGGGGGATCAAGGGGTGACAAGAGGAAGCAGTTGTCTAGGATGCTCTTGGAAGCTGACCAAACTGCCAGCATGGAGTTTCAAAAGAGCAGAAACTACACCTTCCCTCTTGTGTAAGCTACTGTGACTTGTTGGTATGGGGAAACCAACATGTCTGAGTTCATTCAGATGCCCTGGGGATTTTCTACTGTGGTCATGCTACCTTACCTTAGGATACATTTCCTTGTCTTCTTCTCTTTTCTATACTTAATTGAAAAACATTTTTTTTTTTTTTTTGGTACCGGGGATTGAACGGCTTAATCACTGAACCACATCCCCAGCCCTTTTTAAAATATATTTTTTGTAGTTGTAAATTGATACAATACCTTTATTTTGTTTTATTTATTTCTATGTGGGGCTGAGGATCTAACCCAGTGCCTCGCACATGCAAGGCAAACATTCTACCGCTGAGCCACATCCTCAGCCCTCCAACCTTTTTTTATATTTTATTTAAAGACAGGGTCTCACTGAGTTGCTCAGTGCCTTGCTAATCTGCTGAGGCTGGCTTTGAACTCGAGATCCTCCTGCCTCAGCCTCCTAAATTGCTGGTATTATAGGTGTGTGCCACTGTGCCCAGCTCAGCTAATTGACTTTTTGTTTGTTTGTTTGTTTTTGGTACCGGGGGATTGAACTCAGGGGCACTCAACCACTGAGCCATATCCTCAATCCCTTTTATATTTTATTTAGAGACAGGGTCTCACTGAGTTGCTCAATGCCTTGCTAAGTTGCTGAGGCTGGCTTTGAACTCAAGATCCTTCTGCCTCAGCCTCCAGAGCCGCTGGGATTACAGGTGTGCACCACTGTGCCTGGCTAGTTAATTGACTTTTGATGTTTTTATTATTTTCCTCTTTTTAAAATGCCACTGGGCTCATGTGGCTTTTAAAATTTGTACTACAAGTTAAGCTTTCCTAATACTGAAATCTGAAATCCTAAATGGTCCACAACCCAAAACATTTTGAAAGGCAACATGACCCTACAAATGGTAAATTCTATACCAGGAAACTTTGCCTCATGCACAAAATTATTTAAAATAGTGTATAAAATTGCCAGCATGGTGGTGCATGCCTGTAATCCCAGCAGCTTGGGAGGCTGAGTCAGGAAGATCTCGAGTTCTAAGCCAGCCTCAGCAAAAAGCAAGGCACTAAGCAACTCAGTGAGACCCTGTCTCTAAATAAAATACAAAATAGGGCTGGGGATGTGGCCCTGAGTTCAATCCCTGGTACCCCCACTCCCAAAATAGTATATAAAATTATCTTCAGGATATGTGTATAAGGTATATATGAAACAAATGGATTTCACGTTTAGATCTGGGTCCCATCCAAGATATCTCATTGTGTATATACAACTATTCAAAAAGTTGGGGCTGGGGGCTGGAGATGTGGCTCAAGTGGTAGTGCCCTCGCCTGGCATGCGTGTGGCCCGGGTTCAATCCTCAGCACCACATACAAAAAATTCTCTCCCTCTCTCCCTCTTTCTCTTTAAAAAAAAAAAAAAAGTTGGGGTTGGGGTATAACTCAGTTGGTAGAGTGCTTGCCTCACATGCACAAGGCCCTGGGTTCAATCCCCAACACCACCAAACAAAACAAATATTCCAAAAGTTTTTAAAATCCAAATTACATAGCACTTCTGGTCTCAAGCATTTAGATAAGTGTGGCTTTACCCTGTTTTAAAAAAAAAATGTTCTGTGACAGAACCAAAGCACGGATCTTTTTAATCTCCCATAGGTCCTCTGAGGGAGTTGGAAGTGATGCACAAACACACCATTTTAAAAGTAGAACAAGTGGGGCCAGGGATGTGGCTCAAGCGGTAGCGCGCTTGCCTGGCATGTGTGCGGCCTGGGTTCGATCCTTAGCACCACATACAAACAAAGATGTTGTGTCCGCCGATAACTAAAAACAAAATAAATATTAAAATTCTCTCTCTCTCTCTCTCTCTCTCTCTCTTTCTTTAAAAAAAATGAATAAAAAATAAAAGTAGAACAACTGTGAATTTTAAGGGGAGGGTGTATTTGCTCAAAGAAAAACAAGTGTGGAGGCAAAAGCAGAACTCACATCTCCTGGTTCCTTGGTTCCTTGTGCAGTACTCTCAGGCCCAGAGCTGTGCGGACTTATTCATCTGTCACCTGTAGCATCAGCTTCTCTCCCTCCTTCCCTCTCGGTGCCCTTTCCTCTCTTTTTCTCCAGCCCTCCCCTTTGCTGCCACTACAGATTGCTGGGGGGGTAAAATTGGTAACTGTCCCTTACCACATCCAACTCGGTTTTCTCCAGGACATCCACCAGCATCTCAATCTTGGTCTTGTTGTTGAAGACAAAGTCATCGTCCACCCAGAGAACATATTTGGTGGTGACCTGAGATATGGCCAGGTTTCTACCAGCAAACCAACCCTGTAAGTGGCACAAACTTAGATCAGCAGTTGCCCACCTTGGCTAACAAGGAGAATCGCTGGGGATGCTTCCCCATAACTGCCGCAGTCTGGCTGGGCACAAAATCACGAGCCACCACACAGCTTGTAGATTCAAACAGCAACTCTTTATTCCCAAACTCACACCAGCCGTCTACAATCACGTTCTGGGGAAATCCACGTTCTCTGCCCAAATCCACCTCCACTGGGCTTCTGTCTCCCAAAAAATACTGTCTGAATCCCGTGAGAACTCAAGGGGAACTCAGGCAGCAGGATACACCCTATTCCCAGCAGGAATAATCTTAAACCTGGACCGCCCTAAACTGGAACGCCCTAAACCCGATTATCCTAAACCGGGAACGCCCTAAACCCGATTATCCTAAACTGGGAACACCCTAAACCTGGAACCGCCCTGGTCCTTGAGCAAGGTCACTACATGCAATGTCACTGCAAAATGTCCTATTTCCACGAGTCCTTCCACTAAGCAACATGGGGTACGCTGGCAAGGAAATTGTCATACCTACTTGGCTAATGGCTCCCAGCACATAACCAGGCTGTACCCCCTCATGGATTATGTCAGAATCTGTGGGGGTGAAGCCAATACACGGCCAAGGTTGAAAAGCTGGGCAAAGGGAGCCCATGTCTCAGGGAAACACAGTAAGAGACAGTGACTTTCTGGACAAAGAAAAGTTAGAAAGTCTTCATTGGGAGGTTGGGGTTGTGGCTCAGTGGCAGAGTGCTTGCCTCGCACATGTGAGGCACTGGGTTCGATCCTCAGCACCACATAAAAATAAATAAACAAGATAAAGATATTTTTAAAAAGTCTTCACTGGCCTTGTGGACTCCATGAATGGAGAGAAGAACTTTTTCATCTCACAGAATTCCTGTGATTCTTTTTCTACCTCCTAAGAGATGTCAAGTTTGGGGGACATCTGAAAAGTACTATAATCATTTCCTCCTTTACCCATGCAGGAAGGCATGTGGGGAAGAGAGAATTCTCTGCTGTTGGGGGCTACACTTCAAGAATCCTTGGGATGTCAGAGACGGCAAGTTATTTATAAGGACCCCTTGTCATTTCCACACCAAATATGAAGGAAAATGAAATAACCGCTTCTTAATGCAGAAATATGAGGGTGACCAGATTTCTTTCTGAATCTGGAGTTAGCAAATGGACTCACAGGGAGAGACCCCAGGCCCTCCCACTCCAGGACTCCTCTTGTCTTTGGAGACCACTATAGTAGCCCCATCAGGGCAGAACTTGACTCTGGGGCCCTCTTGTCCAAGGAGCAAAGTTCCCCCAGATCTGAGAGGGACATACCTTCCCAAAGGGCATTGTATAATACTCCACATAGTCATCTTTAATTTCCAGGGGCTTCTTGCCGTCATCAGCCACGATCACAGTCACATCTGGGTAATACTCTCGAATACTCTGGAGTAGGACCTTAAGCTTGTGGGGACGAAGGAAAGTCTTGGTGGCAATGGTCACCAGATTTCTGAGCTTCTTCTCTGAACAAAAAAAGAGTAGATGCCAGAGTTTTGTCTTGCAGGAAGCCTCACTATCTTGACTTGCTCTCTGATGTTGCTTGGTTTTATTTTACCAGTGCTGGGAATTGAACCCAGGGCCTTACACACTAGGTAAGTGTTCTACCACTGAGCCACACCCCAGCCTCCTGAGGGCTTCTTCTTCCTTTTTTCTTTTCTTTTTTTTTTTTTTGGTACTGGGGATTGAACCTAGGGGCCCTTAACCCCTGAGCCACATCCCTAGCCCTTTTTTATATTTTATTTGAAGAAAAGATCCCGTTAAATTGCTGAGGCTGGCTTTGAACTCACAATCCTCCTGTTTCAGTCTCCAGAGCCCCTGGTATTACAGGTGTACTCCATCAGGCGCCTGCCCTGAGGGATTCTTCATGCCACATGTCACTTGATTGGAAACTGAAGGCATTGACAACACCCAGTTTGCTGAAATTTTACATCTTTTCCTTTTTCTGGTTCTGTGAGCTCTGCTATGCCATCTTCCTACTGTCTGTTAGAATGCTTCCTTTTTTTTTTTCTTTCCACTCACTCTTTAGCATTTTACAGGCACCCTGCTTCCATCTTAATACTAGAAGTTAATGTGCTCAGAGCTTCACCACTCAAGAGGTCCAAGGAGGAGAGTCACAGAACCCAGGTCTTAAGAAATTGAGATCTGTTCCTGCCATCAGATCCAAGCCCTAGGAGAAGCCTACCTGGTCATTCTCCTCAGGAAGATATGGAGGGAAGGAGGTCCATTTGGAGACTGCAAGGCCTGGACTAAATTGTCCATTCTGAGGCATGTGACTTATGTAAAAGACTGGGGAAAGGTCAGCTTTTCCAAGGAGAAGATCCCATGATAAAACAACTGGAGCCGGTAGGTGGTCTGGAGTCAGCCAGTGGAGGTGGAGCCCTACCCCCCAGCTGAATTTGGGGATGTCAGCAGGGCTGGTGTGGGTGGAGTTAGCTCCCGCTGAAAGCCACACCCTACTACTGTGGGTAGGTGAGCGTGCATAACCCCAGGCAGAGCCTCTTTCTCAGAATGACAGAAATCAGAAGTCATTCCAGAGTCCCCTTAAAAATTTTGTCTTGGGCTGGGGATGTGGCTCAAGTGGTAGTGCGCTTGCCTGGCATGCGTGCGGCCCAGGTTCGATCCTCAGTACCACATACAAACAAAGATGTTGTGTCTGCCGATAACTACAAAATAAATATTTAAAAATTCTCTCTCTCTTTCTAAAGTTTTTTTTTTTTTTTTTTTTTTTTTGTCTTGCACCTTTACTTCAGCTCCTAGTGAATCTGATGAAGGGGAAAAGAGACCAGTGGAAAGAGGCAAGTAAAGTGTCCTCAAGCTGGGGATGGTAGCACAATCCTGAAATCCCATTCACTATGGAGGCTGAGGCTGGAGGATGGGGAATTCAAGGCTAGCCTCAGCAATTTAGCAAGGCCCTAAGCCACTCAGTGAGACCCTGTCTCTAAATAAAATATTTAAAAAGGGATGGGGATGTGGCTCAGTGGGTTAAGTGCCCCTAGGTTTTATCCTCCCACCCCATACTAAAAAAGAAAAAAAAAATTGTCCTCAAGACCCTGCTGAACTAATCCTCCCTGCTACCCACTTTAAAGTCTTTAAATTTTTTTTTTCCTTTTTTACCAACCTAGATGTCCTTCAACAGACAAATGGGTAAAGAGAGTGTGGTATATGTACATGATGCAATATTACTCAGCATTATAAGAGAATAAAATTATGGCATTTGCAGGTCAATGGATGGAGTTGGAGAATATCATGCTAAGTGAAGTTAGCCAATCACAAAAAACCAAAGGCCAGAATGTTCTCCCTGATAAGCGGATGCTGATCCATAATGGGGGAGGGGAGCATGGGAAGAATGGAGGAACTTCAACTGGGCAAAGGAGAGCAAGGAGAGGGAAAGGGAGTGGGCATGGGGGTAAGTAAGATGGTGGAATGATAATTACCTTAGGTACATGTATGACTGCACCTATGGTGTGACTCTACATCATGTACCACCAGAGAAATGAAAGTTGTGCTCCATTTGTATACAATGAATCCCTCTTTTCCTTCCTCTTTCTTTCTTTCCTTCCTTCCGTCCGTCCGTCCTTCCTTCCTTCCTTTGTACTAAGGATTGAACCCAGGGTTTTGGTCATTCTAGATGAGCCCTCTACCCCCGAGCTACTTCCCCAGCCCCCCATATGCACTTTTTTTTTTTTAGCATCAAATATTTTAATCAATCTATCTATCCATTTATTTATTTATTTAATATTTTTTGATACTAGAGATTGAACCCTGGGGTGCTTAACCACTGAGCCATATCCCCAGCCCTTTAATTTTTTAATTTTTAATTTTTTTTTTTTTTTTTGAGACTGGGTCTCACTAAGGTGCACAGGGCCTGGCTTTGAAGTTGTGATCCTCCTGTCTCAGCCTCTGGAGTCTCTGAGATCACAGGCTTGTGCCAGCACATCTGGATTGAACTTTTTTTTTTTTTTTTTTTTGGTACCAGGGATTGAACTCAGGGGCTCTTAACCACTAGCCACATCCCCAGCCCTTTTTTGTGTTTTATTTAGAGACAGAGTCTTGCTGAGTGGTTTAAGGCCTTGCTAAATTGGCTTTGAACTAGCAATCCTCCTGCCTCAGCCTCCTGAGTCATAAGGATTAGAGGCATGTGTTTCTGCACCCAGTTAAAGTATATATTTTAATCACTAAAAATATTGTGGAATATATTTTTTTTGTGAACTGAGTGCTTTACCAAAGCCCTATTGGATGTTCTTTCCTTATTAATTTATAGGTGTCCTTAAGTAAAATTAGACTTTAATGTGTGTTGAAGATGTTCATTTCCCCCATGTGTCCATTGTCATTTGACTTTGCTTATGGTGGGCTTCTGCCATAAAAACATTCTAAAATGTTATATATCTTTTGGGGGGGGGGTACCAGTGATTGAACTCAGGGGCACTTGAACACTGAGCCACATCCCCAGCCCTATTTTATATTTTATTTAGAGACAAGGTCTCACTGAGTTGCTTAGTACCTCACTTTTTGCTGAGGCTGGCTTTGAACTCATGATCCTCCTGTCTCAGACTCCTGAGCCACTGGGATTACAGGTGTGGGCCACTGTGCCTGGTTAAAATGTTATATATCTTATGGTTTTAGTCTCTAGGCTTTGTGTCATGCCTTACATGCCAACATTACTTTTTAAACTCTATGGGTTATTTTTTAGTCATTTAAAAATACTCAGATATGTGATCTATTTGAAATTTATCTTGCTATGAGTTGTGATATAGATTCAACTTTTTACCTTTCACATAGCTACACAGTGATCCCACATAATTTCTTGACTAATCCATCTTTAAATTGTTAATTTGCCCCACTTAATTTGAAAAGCTACCTTTATCACACTGTGAAATTCCAACATGTATTGGGTCTATTTCTGGGTTTCCAATTTTATTCCAAAGTGTATCTATTCATTCTCCAGTACCACTATTTTTATTACTATTACTTATTAAAATGTTATAAATCACCAGACAGTCGCTCACACCTAAAATCGCCATGGCTCAGGAGGCTGAGACAGGAGGATGACAACTTCAAGGACAGCCTCAGCAACTTAGCAAGGCTCTATGCAACTTAGTGAGACCCTGTCTCAAAATATAAAAAAATTTTAAAAACATCGTGGGGAGGACTAGGGTATAGTTCAGTAGAGTGCTTGCCTAGCATGTGTGAGTCACTGGCTTTGATTCTCAGCACCACATAAAAATCAATAAACAGGGCTGACATTGTGGCTCAGTGGCAGAGCACTTAGCTTGATTACGTGAGGAATTGTGTTCGATCCAGGGCACCACAATAAATAAACAAACAAAATATAGATCGTGCCCATGTGTAACTTAAAATAAGTAAATAAATAAATAAATAAACCATGTATAGCCAAAGGAATGAGAAGCTGAACTCTATTTGTGTACTATGTGTCAAAATGCAATCTACTGTAAAATAAATTATATAATTTTTAAAAATTATGTTACTTGCAACAAATAAATAAATAAAGATATTGTGTCCATCTACAACTAAAAAAAAATTTTTTTTTAAAAATGAGGGAGAATGTGGCTCAGTAGTTAATTGCCCTAGAGTTCAATTCCCAGTACAAAAAAAAATTAAAAAGGTATAATTTTCTTTTTCAAAATAAGCAGAAACCACATAGTAAGTAAATACAGTGAAGCAATACTAGGGGAATGTGTTCTAAATTTTTTTTCCCTTGAACAAAACTTGTGCTCAAGAATCCCACCAGCCCTGTGGTTGTGATCAGTTCTCCATATCAGAGATATCTCCTCCAAATTTCAACCAGTAGCTCTACAAGATACCACAGTGGAGCTCCAAGGACAAGGGCCTTACCTGGTCCGGGGTCATATAACTTGGGTATGACCGAATGGCGGATGGTCACTGGGAACTTGGCCACTGAGGATTTGGATGTCAGAATCACTGAAGGGAGAAAAGAGGTCAAAGACTGAGTAGCACCACTTCTGGGTGGAACTCCACGCTGCCCCAGGAAGCTGACTTGATGGGCTCAGGTGAAGGTGGTGGGGTGAGTCCTAGCAGGGACAAGATTGAGGACTCCACAGAGCCTATGGCGTGTGGGCTCCTGACTTGTCCCTAGGACAACCTGATGAATGCCTCCGAAGCTCTCATTCTCCCCCTGTGAGACTGTGCTGGGGGGAGTGGGCTATGGATTCCAGAGTCTGGATTAAGATTGTGCTGTGTACTCTCTGAGACACCTTGAAGAAATTACTTCACTGCCTTCTCTGCCTACAAAACCAGGATAACAGTACCTGCTCTGTTTCACCTCACAGGGTCATTTTCTGAAGGGAAACGTTTTAAAACTTGAAGGTGGGAAGAACTATCTTTTTAGCTAGGGGTGATGAGTGATCTGTCCCATGTTGCATTTGTCTTCTGTTGGTGTCCTGGGAATGCATCCTGTGTGGCTAGTGAAGAGAAAAGGGTGATTTTAACTGATCCAGAAGGAAACCGAGGCTGCCTTGAAGATGGCAGGAACTGTTCTCCCGAGGTTTCTGGAGCGGGGAGAGGAGACAAAGTCACTGCCCTTAGAACTGAGAGTTCCCCCACATGTCCTCTTTCTGTTAGAGCCCAGGCCAGTATATTGATGTACAGACTGGCTCCCTCCTCTCTCCTCTCAAAGCTGAAGACTGAGCTTTGAGACCTGGGGAATGGGAGACAGAATGGATGGTCCTTCGGTTTGGGTAAGTCTCTCCCAAAGGAAATGTGCTGAAGGCTTGCTTACCAGTGTGGCACCACCGGAAGGGGAGGAGCCTTTAGGAGGCGGGGCATGGGGAGGTCTTCAGATCACTGCAGGTGAGCCCCTGAGGAGATGGTGGGACCCTAGCCCCTGCCTCTTCTGTTCTCTTTTGCTTCCATACGCTCCATGCCATGATGTGCTGCCTCTCCACAGACCCAAAGCAAAGGCCCAACCAATCATGGACTGAAACCTCCAAAGCTGTGGGCCATGATAAACCTTTCCTCTTTATAAGTTGATCATTTCAGGTATTTGTTATGACAGAACACTAATAGAGGTGGTTTCCTCAGCGAGCCCACTGTTGTGTGATGGGAGCCTCATGAATGGTTTGTTCTGTCCTTGAGTCACCCTACGGGATCAATGGCAATGTAGGAATAGTATTGGATACAGTAATTGGGAAGTCTGGTATTGGAAATAAATGCAAATGAAGAATCTTAAACACAGGCAGGCTTCCTGGAGAAAGAAGACTGAAGAGGAATCCCAGTGGTATTTTCTAGTTCCTTAGACATTTGTGGTCCAAAGACAGGTTCTCACCCGTGTCCACTTTGTGGTGCTGGTACCCTGTGCTGGTATATGTCACATGCTGGAGAATGAACTTCAAAAGCTCCCGGCTACTGGTTGAAATGATCAGCTGCTTCTGGCCTCTGCCCTGCACAATATCATCTGGGACATCAGCGAGAGTGTTGAATGTCCCCAGAGAAGCTGTCAGGGTGACCTGGGGTAGTATTAAGTTTATTCACATTATTATGCAACCATCATCCATTTCTATAACTTCTTCACCAATCCCAACTGATTCTTTGTATCCATTTAACTATAACTTCCCATTTTTCCTTCCCCAGGGCCCTGGCCCCTGGCAGAAAGATGCTAAATGCCAGGATAGGAAAGTATCTTTTCTCAGGAAAAGCACATGCACAGGATGACCAGCAGGGGGCAGAGCACAGAAGAGCTAAAGACCACAGGAGGGCTGAAGGACATTGTAGTTCTAGTTTTGCAGGGAATGGCTGCTGCAGCTGTATCCTCTCCACCCACTAAGTCCTTAGACTAAGTATTAGGACTCCTGTGTGTTTAAGGAACTGTTTCTGCAAACATAGGGTATTTCTTGGCTTGCAAGATTTCTTCTTATTCTTACTAGATTTGTTCTTGCTATTATTCTGTGTTACTGAGATCAAACTTAGGACTTCACACATGCTAGGAGAGTATTCTACCACTGAGTCACACCCCCAGCCCTACTCCTGGGGTTTTTTTTTTGTTTGTTTGTTTGTTTGTTTTTTTTAATTTTTTATTGTGGGTTGTTCAAAACATTACAAATTTCTTGACATATCATATTCCACACTTTGATTCAAGTGGGTTATGAACTCCCACCTTCACCCCATACACAGATTGCAGAATCACATCAGTTACACATCCATTGATTTACAAATTGCCATACTAGTGTCTGTTGTGCTCCACTACCTTTCCCATCCTCCCCCCTCCCCCCTCCCCACCTCTCCCCTCCCCTCCCCTCCTCTCTCTCTACCTCCTCCACTGTATAACCCTGAGGGTCTCTTTCCATTACCATGCAATTTTCCTTCTCTCTCCCTTTCCCTCCCACCTCTCATCCCTGTTAAATGTTAATCTTCTTCTCCTGTTCTTCGTCCCTACACTGATCTTAGTTACTCTCCTTATATCAAAGAAGACATTTGGCTGTTTGTTTTGTTTTAAGAGTACATTTTTATTTTATTATTTTTTATATACACACACTTTTTTTTTTTTTTTTGGCTGGTGGTTTTTTGTTGTTGTTGTTTTGTTTTTGAGGTTTTTTTGTTTGTTTTGTTTTGTACTGGGTGCTTAATTACTGTATATCCCCAGCCCTTTTTTTTGTATTTTATTTAGAGACAGGGTCTCTCTGAGTTGCTTAGGGTCTTGCTAAATTGTGAGGTTGGCTTTGAACTCACAATCCTCCTGCCTCAGCCTCCTGAGCTACTGGGATTATAGGCATGGGCTACCATGCCTGATCTTACTGCTGTTTTTGACTATTTGCCATCTCATCCTCACTCTAACCTCCAAAGGGAGATTTTCAGGACTTGGTTGGAGACCCTTTTCCCTTCTTACTTCATACTTTCCTGCTAAAGGATTTCATCCATTCTTATTACTTTAAAGAAACAATTATTTATGAATGGTTTCAAAACCAGATCATGTCTTTTGGTGATCTAGCTGCCTGGTTGGTGGTCCTGCTAGGAAATTTCCCAAGCAACTCCAACTCAGTGTCTTAGACACTGAATACTGATAGTTTTGATACTGATAGAAACTACTGGATAGATACCCATTGCCCACTCACCCACTTTCTCCCTGCTTGGTGAATGGCACTTTGTCCACTCACCTGCTCAAGCCCCCCAAAGGAAGTTTTTCTTGTTCTCTTCTTCTCCTCTCACCTACAGCCCATTGTGGGCAAGCCCTGCCAGCTCCATCTTAGACATGCAGCTAGCTGTACACCTCTTCTCTCCACCCCCACTGCCACCCTCCACGCTACTCTCTGCTCTTGTCTTCTGCAATAATCAAGTAGATTTGTTTGGTTTTGGTGCTGGGGATGGAACCCAGAGTCACTTTACCACTGAGCCACATCCCCAGCCCTTTTTATATTTTATTTTGAGACAGAGTCTCACTAAGTTGATTAGGGCATTATTAAATTGCTGAGGCTGGTCTTGAACTTGTGAACCTCCTGTTTCTGCCTCCTGAATTGCCGGGATTACAGTTGTGTGTCATCACACCCAGTCATAGTCAGGTATCTTTATGAAAATACCCAAAGGATTTAAAGTCAGCATACTGCAGTGACATAGCCACATCAATGTTGACAGCAACTCAATTCATAAGAGCTAAGCTATGGAACCAACCTAGGAGCCCCTCAACAGATGAATGGATAAAGAAAATGTGGTATATATACACAATGGGATATTACTCAGTCATAAAAAAGAATGACTTTATGACTTTTTTCCAGTAAATGGATGGATATGGAGACTATTATGCTAAATGAAATAAGCCAATCCCCCAAACCAAAGGTTGAAGGTTCTCTCTGATCTGTGGACATACAACAAGGTGTGTGTGGGGGAAATAGAAGTTCATTGGATTAGACAAAGGGGAATGAAAAAAAGTGAGGGGGGACAGGAATAGAAAAGACAACAGAATGAATCTGACATAAGATTCCTAGGTACATATATGAATATACCACAGTGAATATCATTTACAACCACAAGACTAGGATCCTAATTAGAATAAGATGTACTCCATGTTTGTATAAATATGTCAAAATATACTCTACTGTCATGTATAATTAAAAATAACAAGTAAAAAATCAACTGTAGGGGCTGAGGATATAGCTCAGTTGGTAGAGTACTTGCTTTGCATGCACAAGGACCTGGGTTCAGTCCCCAGCATCACACACACACGCACACACACACACACACACACACACAAAGAATAAACTGTAATCCCAGCAGCTTGGGAGGCTGAGACAGGAGGATCCTGAGTTCAAAGCCAGCCTCAGCAACTTAGCAAGGCCTTAAGCAACTCAGCAAGATCCTATCTCTAAATAAAATACAAAAGGGGCCTAGGGATAAAGCTCAGCATTTGAGAGCCCTTGGTTTCGATCCCTAGTACCAAAAAAAAAAAAAAAAAAAAAAAAAATCAACTGGATTGTCACTCCTGCTGAAAATATGATTTAATCAACAGATACTCTCTGAGAATGAATACGGTATTCCAGTGAGGAAGACATCAACCAGCACAGAGCCACACACAGTTACTCAGCTACAGATAAGGACCATGAAGAAGGTAGCAGAAGGAACTGGGGCATAGCTCATGGGTAGAACACCTTTCATGAGTCGCTGGATTCCATCCCCAGCACTGCAAGCAAAAAATGTAAAAATAAAACAAAACAAAAGGGGCTGGGGATACAGCTCAGTTGGTAGAGTGCTTACCTTGCATACACAGGCCCTGGGTTCAATCCCCAGCACCACAAAAACAACAACAAAAAAACAAAAACAGTGCAACAAGAAAGTGACAGTAACAAGGTTGGGGATGTGCTCAAGGGGTGGGGGAACCAGAGAAGACCCACAGAGGACAGAATTAGCTCACTCATCACCATTCCAGCTTCTATCTGGCATGCAGAGGTAGGAAAACTAAAGTTACATTTCACCCAGGGTATATCCCACCAATCAGATATCCCTTCAAAAGATCTCGACTTGGAGCATTCAGTAGGGAAAGAAGGACACTGAGCACTGTTGTCCTGCCAGCCCTGACCTCAACAGAGGCCACACAAGCCAGAGGCCACACAAGCTAGCAGCTTTCTTTGCAGCAGAAATAGCAGCCACCGTGGTGGCCCAGTGCTTTGTGTGGCCTTGGGAATTCTCCCCACAACTCCAGCCACCCCCAAGGCTGAGAAGATCATGCTTCTACACCCATCCTCCTCATGGCCCACCTTGGGCTCACGGGCTATTTCATCTGGATAAGGGCAGTAACGGCAGGATGCTCAGTGCAATGCTAGGAAGGGGAATCTTACCTCATAGACTGGGGCATCTGGACCTTCAAACTGGAGACCTGGAGGACACAGGGAAAAGGACAAAAAGTGCCATCTGAGAGGATGCCAAGGATCCCTGATGCTCTCCCCTAACTACACATCCTTGAGAGACTCTAAGTGTCACCAGCTTTCCAGAATGTTGGCTGACAAACCTCTTCTCTCCAGAGCTGTCAGATGGTGCCACAGTCTTTCATAAACCCAAGTGGTTCTAAGGCCTCCAGGGCCCTTCCTCAGCTTTGGATGCTGGGAATTCACTCAGCTCCTTCCTGGTACTGAAGGGAAGGCAGCAATGGAGACATCCTTAGACAAGGGATCTGGATTTGTAAAATTCATAGAGATAGAAAGGAGAACGGGGATTGCCAGAGGCTGGGGAATGAGGAGTTGTTGTTAAATGGGTATATAGTACCAATTGTAGCTTGTGGGAGGCCAACCTTATGGGTGACTGAGTTACACTCCCCAGCTGGGTGCTGAGGCGCTCAGTCACAGAAATGGGTGTGTCTTGCTATAGCCCCATGGGTGAAGCTATGCTCACCTATTCCTTTGTAATATAACCCCTTGTCCTGTTTAGGATAGAATCTTCCATGGAAGTGCCTTGTGTGTGTCCCCTCCTCTTACTGTGCTCTTGGGTGTGGCCTACCCAGGTGTCAGTCAACCTGCTGACAGTGGACATCATGAAGATAGACTCAGCCCCATGAAACCTGACCCCTTGCCTCATTTGAATAGCTTCTCCTCAATAAAAGGGGTCAGCGCGTGCTCTCGCTCTCTCTCTTTCTGTGGACCCTTAAGGTCAGAGGAGCCGTCACAGCGACCCCAAAGAAAAAGGTATTTGTGTCTCTTGTGTGGTTATTTTGTGCAGCCCAGTTAGCCCAGTTTAACTAGAGTGACCCCTGAGCCTTTTAGTCGCGAGAACAGAAACCCGGCAGTAGCTGGGTATGATGGTGCATGCCTGTAATCCCAGAGGCTCTGGAGCCTGAGAAAGGAGGATCCTGAGTTCAAAGTCAGCGTCAGCAACTTATCAAGGCTCTAAACAACTCAGCAAAAGCCTGTCTTAAATAGAATATGAAAAATGGATTGAGGATGTGGCTTAGTGGTTGAGTGTCCCTAGGTTCAATCTCTAGTACCAAAAAAAAAAAAAAGTACCAATTGGAGGGCTGGAGGTGTGGCTCAATGGTAGAGTGCTTACTGAGCATGTGCAAGGCCTTGAGTTCCATCCCCAGCACTGTGGAAAATAAAAATAAAATAAAAAGTTTCAGTTGGGAATTGTGAAGAAGTTCTAGAGATGTCTAGAGATGGGTGATGGTTGTACAACAGTGTGAATATACTCAATGCCACTGAACTATATGCTTAAAAATGGTCAAAATGAGGGTCAGGGTTGTAGCTCAGTGGTAGAGTGCTTGCCTCTCATGTGTGAGGCACTGGGTTCAATCTTCAGTACCATATAAAAATAAATAAATAAAATGAAGATATATTTTAAAAAGTTATCTTCTGGGGCTGGGGATATAGCTCAGTTGGTAGAGTGCTTGACCTGGGTTCAATCCCCAGCACCAAAAAAAAAAAAAAAAAAAAAGGTTATCTTCTAAAAAAATGGTCAAAATGATAGTTTGTGTTGTACATATTTTACCATAATAAAAAGTATCATCCCAAATTCAAAAGCTGGGGATGGTGGCACACACTTGAAATCCCATCTACTTGGAAGGTTAAGGCAGGAAGATCTGAAGTTCAAGTCCAGCCTGGGCAACTTGATGAGACCCTGACTCAAAATAAATAAAAAGGCCTGGGGTTGCAACTCAGAGTTAAAGCACTTGTTCAGCATATGGGAGACCTTGGGTTCAATCCCCAGCACCAAAAAAACAAAAAACAACAATAATAACAACAACAACAAAAAACTATTCAAATCCATTATCAGTTCACTCCAAATGTATTTACTTTAAAATCTCTATTTTTATAATATGTTTAATTGTAATTCAGACACACCTTCTTTATGTGGCCTGAGTAAGCTTACTAGACTCTTACCGTCTAGAGAATTGGCAATATAGATAGAGTTTATTTCAGGGCTGGGGTTGTATTTCAGCGGTAGAGCGTTTGAAAAGCAAGAGGGCAGGAACAGAAATGAAGGGAGCCGGCTCACCTGGAGGAGGGGCTGAGGCTCGGCCCTGCTTCTCTCTTCCCTTTGTCCCATCTGGGAGGCTCAGCCCCAGCTCTGGTACCTGCCTCTGGCACTTACTCATTGTTCCCTGTTTGACTTGTGACTTTAGGTAATTTGGCTCTTGCTCATTGATACAGGACCTAAAGAGGGCTCATCTGGCTCCAGGAGACATGCCCCATCCCAGCTGTCATTGCCACCCAGCATATACTTGAAGAGTTCATGGTGGGGCTGTTTGCCTCAAGATCCCAGAGCAGAAGAGTCCATCAGCCCAGCCCACTGAATCCATCGTCTCTGCACTGGGGGAAGACATGTGCACATGCAGGCTCATGCTTCTTGTCTCTTCTGGTAACACTGCACTTGGCTTTGAAAAGGGATGTGATGCTGAACTACAGGGATGTGTAAAAATCTGCCATGGAGGAAGTTCTAACCAGCAGAAATAAGCTTTTCAAAATGCCCTCCCTGGAGACTAGCTCATGTGTTGTCTTTGCCCTTCATGCTAAAATACTCCCAAGAGTCAACTTTGCCCTAAGATTCTTAGAGACACACAGCTCTCTGTCCTCTTCTATATTTTCTTTGTTCCCCAGAAAGATCACAGCCACTAAGGGAGATTGCCAGTTGTGGAACCAGGGAGGTTAACATTAAATGACATCACACCAAGCTTCTTGAGTTGTGCTGTGTATACAGCTGGCACTCAATGAGTGACTCCTTCTTCTCCCTCCTTTTTCCCTAAGGAGAGTAAGAATAATGTCTGCAGCCTCTAGGATGCTGGTATACCTACCTGGGATGAGAATCGTGTGCAGGGGCATCACCTCTACTCCATGGACTGGGTACCCAAAGGGGATGTTGGGCTGGGCCAGCAGGGGTGGTGGGCGTGGCAGCCCTTCTCTGTAGGAGAATGCAAACATGAGCAGCTGCCCTGATGCTGGTCCTGTGGTTGGTCCTCAAAGTGGTCCCTGTACACACAGCCTTGCCTTTCCAATGTTGAGAAATCAAAAGTAGATTGTTCCTGTCACCCTCCCCCATATCTTTATTTTCACTCCTCACCTCAAGCTCTGTTCCACAAAGGTACTGGGGCAGTACACAACAAAGCATATAAATATTAAAAATCATAACAAAAAAATGAAATTATCAGACCGTGGGGGTCAACCCTCCTGCAGTAGCTGAAAACCAAGGTCATATCTGAACTTCCTGGTAGCCAGGTATAAAGTGATTGACAGTACACTGTCCTTATTATCAACAGGGAGATGCAGATCCATTCTGGAAGGGAAGGAAACTTTCTCCAAAACTAAAAAATTAGCTATATCACAAGAAACTTGATTGTGAGTGGTTGTTATCTCAATATTTGTAGAGCAAACCCAGTAACTATTTTTATGGTTTGCTATAGTTGTTGATATCCTTCAGTCAATGGCAAAAGCATACCAATCCAGGAAGAATGAGTCTTTGAGGGACAAAACTGTGGTTAAAATGTAACTTTGAGGGATCCAGTTAACTAAGCATATCACTTAAATTACCTTGGGAAAAATTAGACCATTCCAGCGAATATGCATGCAAATAAGAAAAGGATAAAATTTTTAAATGAAAAAGGGCATAAATAGGCAAATGACAATAAACATGTGAAACATGCTTCACTTCCATATCAATCAAGAAATGTGTATTTAAAAAATAATGAAGCTTGTAATCCCAGTGGCTCAGGAGACTGAGGCAGGAGGATCGCAGGTTCAAAGCCAGCCTCAGCAATTTAGCAAGGTCCTAAACAACTCAGTGAGACCCTGTCTCTAAATAAAATCCAAAAAAGGGCTAGGGATGTGGCTCAGTTGTTGAGTGCCCCTGAGTTCAATCCCCGGTACCCCCGCAAAAATAAATAAATAAATAAAAATAATGAAATACTTTTCAAATTGAAGTTTTAAAATGGTAAAAGCAGTGGCTGGGGATGTGGCTCAAGCGGTAGCGTGCTCGCCTGGCATGTGTGTGGCCCGGGTTCGATCCTCAGCACCACATACAAACAAAGATGTTGTGTCTGCCGAGAACTGAAAAATAAATATTAAAAAATTCTCTCTCTCTCTCTCAAAAAAAAAGGACTGGGGATGTGGTTCAGTGGTTAAGGGCCCCTGGGTTCAATCCTGGGTGCCAAAATAAATAAATAAAAATGAATACAGTGTAATGAGAAAATGGTAACAAATACTCAAAGCTCATCACTTCTTAAGTATTTTACTATTAACTCTGATCTTGAAACTCTTTCTGTACAGTGGAGATATTTTAGAATTGTGACCTACTAGATGTCTCTTTCCAACTCCACATCCAGTAACGTCACACTGGTAACTTAAAATCAGCTATGGTATGGGTATTTTTCCACCAGGGAACCTGGCAAACACTCCAAATCAGGGTGGCCCTGCTTGGAGGCCATTTAACAACACCCTCAATAAATAACACTCACACTCATGAATATCCTCTAGACTTTTAAAAGCACAAATGATGGTATACTATGCAATCTTCTTACATCTTGCTTTTTTTGACCTAATAGAGCTCTGTTCCCTACCAATGCATCTAGATTTACCAAATTCCTTTTACTACCTGAAACTTTTGTCCTCAGAATTGCTCCTCTGTGCTGGAAGTGAACCACACTTAAGAGTTCTGCCCAGAGTCCCACATTATTTAATAGCGTCCTGTCTGCCAGGCCTGTGCTAAACTGGAGTCACAGAAATACACGAAGCCCCTTTCCTGGAAGAATGGGAACTCAGACCCAGGCCCAGATGCCAATAATGAAAATACTAAGCCATCTTTTCAATAACAAAGAGAAAGCTGGGCTTTGACTGAACCTTGTTCTCGAATATTCTTTTGTCAATTATCAGATATGGAATCCATTCTCCCTCCCAAGATCTTCCATGTCACTCCCTCTCACTACTATGATAACACTGAGCTTTGAGTTGAACTCTTGAGCTTCCACCCAGCTTGTTAAATACATTCCATGGACCACTGACTGTTCACATTCACTCACAATTCAACACTGGGTTCCGTCACTCTGTCGCTATAGGGGCACACAGGGAGTGTTAATGTGAATAGACACTTGATTATGGGTTAGGATGCACTTACTATCATAAGCTCATTGAGTGCAGGGTCTGCATTAGATTTATCTCTATACCTAACTCACACCTTGCTCAAAGCAGGCATTCACTGTATTTCAGGAGTTAAATAAGAAAGATGTGAGGAGCTGAGTGTGGTGGCACACATCTGTAATCCCAGCGGCTCAGGAGGCTGAGGTAGGAGGATCCTGAGTTCAAAGCCAGCCTCAGCAAAAGTAAGGCCCTAAGCCACTCAGTGAGACCCTTTTTCTAAATTAAAATACAAAATAGGGTTGGGGATGTGTCTCAGTGGCCGAGTGCCCCTGAATTCAATCCCCAGAACCAAAAAAGAAAAGAAAGAAAGATGCGAGGAACATCATGGAGGAGCTGAACTGAGCATCTCTCTGCCCAGCTAATTTTTACTTTCTTTCCTCACATAATAATTACATCATGATTTTGGTATAGAATGATATTTATTGTGTATATTATTGTAACTATGTTCACATTAATCATGAATAAGCCATAGATTGTTTTTTTGCCAATTGCTACATTTTCTTTGCCAAACTTATACTTCCTTGTTTGCTTAAAAGCTTTCTGTACGTCATTGATACTTGACCTTGGAAGTCTGAGCCAATAGTATAAGTCTCTCGGTATATTTAAATGTATTAAGCAATGTGTCTGTTTCTCCTCTGTCACAGATATGTCTCCTACAGCCTTATTTCTATCCCTCTGTTGACCACTTAGGCTTTGCTTGATGCATACCTGTCTTCACCACCATCCACGTCAACCATTATTATTGGGCTCTGTTGGCTTTTGTTCATTCCTATATTGTCTAGTATAATCCCAAGAACACTGGGCATTTCCACAGGGGGAGAAGGGGAAGATGCGGACATGCCCAGGAACTTCTCCAGCTCCATAGCCTTCCCTGCTTGGAATCAGTCTCTTCTGATAATTCCTCTGCCCAGCTCCCTCCACCCTAGCACTCCACCCAGGACCCCTTAACTTTTCCCTGGCTCTCCCCATCTCACCCCCCTGGGACTCTTCAAATACCTTTCTCTTTTCTTTCCTTCTCCACCTGAGATATTCCCTCCTGGTGACAACCAACAGTTCCCAGGGTGGAGACAGAAGCTGACTAACCATAGGAGCATGTCCCCTGTGCCTCCCCTTACACCATTCTCTTATTTGATGCATGTTTACAGAGTCTTTCTTTGTGTCAGCCACTGTCTCAGGTCTGGAGTCTCTGTGTACAGAAATGTCATGAATCAGTGCCAGAGAGAAACTGGGAGACGATCAGACAAATGGTCTCAAGGTGAGAACTTGTCACACCAATGTATGGCCATCTCTATACTTAGATTGTTATTATTTGTTTATTTATTTATTTTGCAGTACTGATAATAGAACTCAGGCCTTACATATGCGAGGTGTGTGCCCCACCACTAAGCTGTATCTTCAGCCCTTTTCGTATCTCCCCACTGTCCTATAATCTCACAGAGAACAGGATGATCATGATGAAGGTGTTCAATCATATTACAAAGCAGATACAGTTTTAAGCCCTTTCCATCTATCAACTCCTTAGATCCTTAGGATGACCCTAAGAGCTAAGTACCATTTTTGTGTTACAGAGAAGGCTAAGCAGATTGTCCAAGGTTGCTAGCAGAAGGTGGAGGCTATAGGACCTGAGTGCAGCTGGCCTGCCTCCCATGCCCCAGCCCCATTGCTTTGCACATAGTCAGATGTGCCAGGTTCAAATCCATGGCAGAATCACCTATGTATCCCATTGGCTATGTGGTTTTCAGCACTCCCTTCCCACTGGTGCCTGAATCTCTCTCCCAGGGACTCCTCTACTTGCATGTGATTTGGGGATAGTGGCTCACTCCAAAAATCAAACACAGAGGGATTTGACTGGGTCCTTCTCTTACTTTTGATTCATGACTTTGGCTCAGTCAACAGAACACTAAGGCAATGACCTGGGGACAGTATATTGCAGAGTTAATGACAACATAGGCACCAGATGGCTCTGGGGCCTGACCAGACCTTTAGTGTCCCCTTGGCTCTTGTCCAGCTTCCAGCCTGCCCATCTTACCATCTAGGGATTTGATGAAACCCCAGAATCCTTCCCACCAATTCCCTCTTGATATCAGCCAGAGAATCAATTTCTTCCCTTTTCAACTAATAGTCTTGGTTGATACACGCGCTGAGTGTTTGCACCTCTTGTAATTTAAAAAAAAAAAAAAGTGACATGCCCCTTTTCACATATGGCAGGTGAACTGTATGTTCCCAATATACAAATGAATAAAATAATGCAACTTGGTGATGAGTACAGAGCGACCCGCTGAGATGCCTGGGTGCATGGAGGCTCTCCCACCATCACCCTAACAACTAGTTTCAAAATACCTCCATTCCTTTTTCTTCTTCTGTTATGAAATATTTTATGCATGTTCTATAAAACTTCTCTTAAGGACCATGTCCTCAATTCCCTTCTCATTTATTCCCGATAGCTCCTGCCAAGAGAAGGAAATCCTGGTTTTTCTCTTAAGACCCACTCCAACTCTCCCCAGACCCATGATCCCCCCGGCCCGCATTACCTCCTCTGAAAGTGTTCAAATTCAGCCTGTCTCCTTGCCTTCACCGCTGGGAGCTCGCTTTGATTATAGGCATCCTGAAAGTTATAACCTCCTTGCCGTCCTTCACATTTGCACTGCTTTTTAGGAAACAGCCTAGAGGAAGCAAGAGGGCTGTAAACTTGGGTTGGGTGGGAGGGAACCTGAGTTCCAATTCAGTGTGTCCTTAGCCCTAAGGATCTCCTTTATCACACCCTCGAGATCCTGGAATCCTCCAGCCGAGACACAGGTAGGGAGGGAAGGGAGGATTGAAGATTCCCTCCTCTCTCTCATGAT